AACACCTCTTAGCCGCCGAACCACCAAGTGTTGGTCGACACAACGGGGACTAGCGTGCCGGTAAGCACGTGAACCTCGGGAGAAAAATTGGTTGTCTCTTGCCCTTTGGTATTCTCTTAGTGATTGATTTAGTATTCATCTTGTGATTGGTTCACTCCTCTACACGGCGGTATAATCACCCTACTCACTCATTTATATTCTTGCAAACCAGTTGTAGGAAGCTCTTTAGTGTAATTAGAATTGAGAGCTTGCCTTGTTGTTTTAAGTTCATCTAGTGGAGCTCTTTAGTGTAGCAAGTGTGAGAGCTCTTAGTAAGTAGTGACATAGCAAATTGTGTGTCTAGAGATCATAGCAACTAGAATTGTTGGATAGGTGGCTTGCAACCCTTGTAGAGCTAGAGCAAGTTTGTATTTTGCTATTTATTATACTAATCAAATTGCTCTAGTTGATTTGTAGATTTATAAATAGGTTATTCACCCCCCCCCCTCTAGCCATATTAGGACATTTCAACGTGTGTTGGCATATTTTACAAGCATTTTTAAGGGTGTTAGTACTCACTAGAATCTAAATGCATATGTAAAGTGTTAGAACATCTAGTGGGACTTTGATAACCGCATTTCACGATGAGCTTCACCCCCCCCCCCTTTAATAGTACGACTATAGATCCTAAATATGATCACACTCACTAAGTGTCTTCATCACCAAAACAAAATAGCCCTATCAAATATACATTTGCCTTGAACCCATTTTGTTTTTCTCTTTCTTTTTTTTTCAAGTCTGGAGCTTGATCATCATCACATGTCCAACACCATCACCTTGGACTTCATCTTTTCTCCACCACTTGGCTTGAACCAATCTATCTCAATTTCACACTTATAGCATAGGTTAGTACCTAAAGTTTTATCAATTCACCAAAACCAAATTAGAACTTTCACTACTTCAAGCAGGCCATTATAACCCAGAATCGGTTTGGTGCTGGTGTTGGCAACAATGTTTGGGTTCCACTCAAGGGTACAAAGTGAACTCATCTCAAGTGCATATGTCGATGTGCGTAGTGATATTGTGGTTATGGTCCGCTGCAACTTGGTTCAGTAGCAGACCTGCATATGCGATGAATGGATTGTTTATGTTCGTACGTGTCATGTTGTATGCGATGCCCCATTAAAATGACTAAGGGGGTGTTTGGTTCCTCCTCCTAAACTTTAGTCGTTGTCTCATCTAATGTTTGGACACATGCATGGAGTATTAAATATAGACTAATTACGAAACTAATTGCACAGTTTACGACTAATTTGCGAGACGAATCTTTTAAGTCTAATTAGTCCATGATTTGACAATATGGTGCTACTGTAAATATGTGCTAGTGACGGATTAATTAGGTTTAATAAATTGTCTTGTGGAGTACCGACGGATTCTATAATTTATTTTTTATTAGTATCCGAACACCCTATGCAACACCCTCACGTGACACCTCCTAAATTTTAGTCACCGGATCTAAACACCCCCGAATAGCATTGAACAGCAAGAACAAATAAAGCACAATGTGTCGGTCTGTCTCAACTCTCAACTACGTAGATGGCAGCTGTAACTTGCTTGTTCACGAATTACGTGCTTGTTCACGTAACGGTGAAAAGTTTCCGTTACGATGGGATGGCCGCGGAAGCACGCGTAACGATGAGATGAGATATAGAAAGAACGATAAACAAGAGCGGTGTCGGAACGTGACCCTGACCCATGAGGATGCCATGAACCCATTCTTTGATGTCGATGCCTGGGCTGAAAGAACAAGAGTCGTTTTCGAGCATTTTTAGTATTATATATATAATAGTAGGAGTAGGCAGGTAGTTTCAGCTCCATGCTACTTCCTTATTTTCTCTGACATAAATACTTTATTCTTTTCACTTTTTATCTTACTATTTTCAAGATTTTGGCTACCGCCTACCGCCCAGTTTTCAATTATATTTACTAAAGTATTTTGAATGAAAACATTAAAAAAGAAAGTATGGGCAGATTTCACTGTGAGAGAGAGGCGCACATAAAAATGAGCAACAAAAAAAACAAGCATTTTATAGGGCACTATAATTAGTAGTAGAACTGAACTGGTGCCACGATCGAGCTTAAAACGAGTTTGCTACCTAAGTTGGGGAGGCGTCAAATCAAACAAATATACACGTCTCGATAGCATTTCAATCCCCGCTCTCGCCGTATCTCAATCAGAGATGTCAAAACGGGTATATAGTACTTGTGTATATTTGGAACTCCTAGAGAGCAGCATGAGGATCGCGGGATTCTCTATCGGCACGTTTCTCACGCCCCACCAATCCCCGCTAATGAACTCTCTGATTATGCGTGATGGGTCGCAGCGTAACCACCAATCCCCGCATTCGCCAGACCTGCCAGCAATGATACCCTCACCAAAACGACGTTTTGCATTTGTTACCACTAACTGTACTTTTTTTTTTTTTTTTTTGCTTGACTCCAGACTGGTGGTCGTCGTCTGCTTGATAATACTAATGTTGCAGGCAGAAGGGCCCAGGAAATAACAGGGCAGAAAATGCAGATGAAATAATAAAGACATCAAGACCCCACGTCTTCCTGGTGAAGTCCAGCGAATTCATACGGTTATCGTGAATCTGCATCGAAATGAACACCGAATCGCGCGTTGCGGACTGACTCGCGTGCGTCGTGGCTTGGTGGTCTGGTCATTGTTGGTTCAGGTCTAGCGTTCACAAAACATATGTAGTGACGGGACGGAAACTTTGGACTCAAACATTCACCTTTATAATCCGTCTTTTTAAGTTTGTTTTTCAGCCGGAACAGTATTTTTCTATCACAACAAATCAGCTGGAACAATATTTCGGTTTGTTTTTTCAGCGAAGCGAACGGGGCCACAGTCGACTAGCCCAGGAATTTCCTCGCAAATGAACCAGCAGCGGAATTATTAGATGCCGCAACTTGAGCCTGTGGGCATGTTAGATGACATCTAATCTAATACTGAGTTGCTAAAACTTTGATCAAATTTTAAGAGGGTTTGACTGAACACTATTCAACAACTAGAATTGCATCATTTCAGAAACGGATGAAGTAAATAAAAAGAAAAATTGGTTTATAGCATCGAAAGATCATGAGAATCGGAGAATATCATTGAAAGAACTCCGTTACGTAAAAATACGACCGAAATATGGAACGTTAACTGGAAAGGGCATTCTGTCATGTCTCATCGCGTTTGGAGGTAACGGTGTGAACTGTGAAGACGTCCTCAACCACCAGCATGAGAGGTCCTGCGTCGCGGCTGGCTAAGGCAGTAAGGCCTAGGCAACCGCCCGGAATTTCCCAGGAAACGAACAAGCAGCGGTGCAGCATTTGCTCTACTTGCAACTTGGATCCTGACTCCTGTGAAGAAAAATGAATTATTATATATATACGTATACCTATGTCCACCAAATACGACCTGTTTGGATTGCATCACAGACCGGTTCTGGAGTCATCCGAGCTTAAGTCCGAACCTATAAATTTGTTTGGAATGAAGTCATCCGGCATGGACTGGTACGTGCTGCAGTTTATTTTGTAGAATCAACTCGTCCGGCGGAAAAGCAAGGAGCCACTCCGTCCGGAGCCACCTTGACCCGAACAGTTTGATCCGTCGAACCAAACAGCCTAATAGAGAACAAAATCGCTGTGAAAAAAGGTTGTGGGATTACTAGATGACACACCTTTAGCATATGGGCATGTTTAGATGACATCTAATACCAGTAGCGAAGCCAAAAGCTTTTAGGTGCTCGGGCAATTCTCATTATGCAAAAAAAAAAATGCTAGGAAATTTCATGATTCTCCTTAGGTATAAAGAAAATTTTCTTTTAAACTTCAGCGACCAGCCCAGCCAGCCTCGCGGGGTGGCCAGGCGGTGGCTCCACTACTGAGTTGCTAAAGCTTCGATCAAATTTTAAGAGGGTTTGACTGCACACTATTCTAGAACTAGAATTGTATCATTTCTGAAACGGATGAAGTAAATATAAAACTTTTCTCAGTCATCTCAGCTCTAAGAAGTTGCCTGACAAATGGGGTAACCAAAGGTGTTGCGCCGGAGCGGGCAACCGAACTCCACTTCTCTTAACAATCCTGTCGGCACTCGGCACGACCTGCGTACCATTCATCTGGACAAGGAAGGAACTGCAGGAGCTTGTGCTCGTAGAGCAGGTCTGTGCCCTCCAGCATCTATCTGCAGCCTCGCCATATCATGTGGACGCTTTGTCCTCGAGCTTGGTTGGGAATTGGGATGTACGATGACGCTCTACTCACGCAAGGGAATAATTGATCTATGATTATTTTTTAAAAAGGGTTTAGTTTAAGTCTGCACTAAATCCTAGGGATTTGGATCAAACTCACCTTTCCAAGCAAAACTTGTAGGAGCCAAAACAACAGCAGATAATTTTAATATGAAGCACACAAGAGGAGAACACGGAGTGCTTACTGAAACAGATGAATTACATAGTCTTTTTACCTTTAGGCTACGTTCGTTTCACCAGGAATGAGCCCTAGGAAGAAATCCTGGCCAGATTATTACTTTAATTTATGTAAGCTTTCACTACCGGATTGATTCCTGGCCTCCTAAAGCCATAACCGAACGAGCCCTTAATAATAACTTTTACTCTTGGCACCTGTAATCTTGGTGGTGTTCATTCTTTACCGAATTGGAGGACATACATATAGAATGAACTTTCTAACATCCTAGGAAGTGTTTTCCTTATTATGACAAAAAAAAAAAAGTTACTCCGAAAGAGCCTGGACGAGGTGAGAAAGTTAAGGGAATGCGGCAGACGATTTCCACAGTACTTGACACCAAACGGATCAATGGCAGAGCAAGTAGCAGTGCAAGTCCCCAGTACAATCAATTGCACTTGCATAGTATGATCGCCGTAGTTGGATTTAACCCAGAGTCACATGAAGCCACTCCAGATCAGAAACCAGTAGCTAGTGCCAGTGAGACCGCCAAAAGGCAATCATGCCTGCAGCAGCCCATTGCCGCCATCATCTCCAGCTCGGTGCCTCTGAGCAAGCAGGTACTTCTCAAATTCCTTCAGGTAGTCTAAGAGCAGCACGCATGAGAAGAGAAGGAATCCACCAAAGTAGTTGCTGCCACCTCCGCCGCCTCCACCACCACCCCCACCTTTGCCGAAGCGGAATGGAGGGAACCCACCGCTCCCGTCATCCAGTTTTGGCCCTTGGACTTTCCCTGGAACAGTTATAAATAACACAGGTAAAATTAAGCAAATGTGGTGAGTTCGACTCTTGTCTTTGAGCAACATCACTTACCTGCTTCAAAGACAAGAAAAAAAATGAATTCAATTATATGTAGTATGCAAATTCTAAATTTTTACCTTTTTTATCACGTTGCATAGTTGCACTTGAAGATTTCTTTTGGACACTTTGTGTTTGAGTGGCGTTGCATCTCACAATCTGTAGTAAACAGTTGTCAAAGGAGAGGTGGTTAAACAAAGGAGCTCACAGTAAGTAGATCATAGACAATATAAGCAAGGTAGCATTTTCACATTCAGTTTTGAATTTCACCAACTGATGGTTACCATTACAAGTAACAAGATACACTGCAAGTCTAGATTTACTATATACCTACCAATTCACACAGCTGATGGTTTAGTATATAATTCTTGGAATCTTGGTATGATGGTATCTAAAAAATTATGCACATTGAAGACATGTAATTTGTCTAGAAACATCGTAAACCCATAATGTATGCGACAATGAACTAAGCCATTCTGAACATACAAAACTTTTATAATATATGCACTCCTGGCATTACTAATAGAATGAGGTCCTCATTGGCACCATTTATCTCAAGTGAGCAGTGAAGGTCAATCTTGCATAATTACCATAGCTGATGATTTAACATAATTTTGTATTAATGTATGGAGACAATGAAAACACGTTTTTAAGATATACAGAAGTTCCACTATGCAAAAGTTTGTATCATGCTTAAAGATTAGAACATATGCGTTGATATGTAGCCTGATTTTGTGATTAGTTCTCAACTCCTCAAGCTCGAATTTACATGTAGTAAGATCAAAATTGAGAACAATGCATTAAATACACTTACTCTCAATGTTGCTTTAGCAGATACTTTCTGACCAAATGAGATATGATTAACTTTAGGCTGCTGTAATTTCAAACCTAGAAAACAGTAGGAAATTAGGAAGCATTATTTAACAATACATAGTGTAAACATTGCTATGTAAAAGAGGATCATCAAGGCCAAAATTCAGAAGGCATGTGCTGATTTGCAGACCTCAGAATCCGAGATCAAATGTTTCCTATCAAAGTGTATCTTAGGTACCTAAACATGCATGGATGTGCCACCTCGGTCCCTAAACCAAGTAACCCTCAATTAAGAGTTAGGGCCTTTTTGCCCCACTTGTACATGTCCATGGACCTAAATGTACAATTCTCAAGTTTATAGACATGTGCATTTTACTCCACATGAACTCAATGACTGTCCCAAAAAAAGCAAAAGTGTGGTAATGTTATCTGATCGTCCGATTAATCGCGATTAATCGTCCTTATCGGTACCTAGCTGATAGGATTACGGATCCTACCGCGTAGATCACGGAGTCTGTAGGGGTGAGAGGGAGGTGGAGCAGGCTGGGAACCTCGCTGCCGGCGGCTGGACGCCGTGGTGGAGGATGGGCGGCTGCTGCTGTAGCCCTAACCTTCACGCGGCTACAGTAGCGGCGGCACTGTTCACGCGTGAACAGTAGAGGCGGCTAGGGTTTCTCCCGGCTCCCTGAGGAAGCCGGAAACAATAATATGTTTCTGCTTAATCTCACAAATAGAGTTTTACAAATATTTATATGTCTCTAATAGCGATAATTATAAAATAACCCTCTACCAATACTATAATTGCGACAATTATATGGGCCATAGCTCTCTGATGGCCGGCTTCCCTCCTAGCCCTTAGCTGGGCTGCGACGGCTGTAGGGGATGCCGGTCATAACACTAGCACTTGATTAGGCTCTTCGATTCGATCAGAGCGATCAGAAACCTGATCGTCCGATCAATCGTCGATTACTCGCGATTAATAGTCCGATTAGGTCTCTTGGCCGATCAGCACTAAATAGGCAGATGGGCTGCTTCAGCTTACTAGGCTATATTTGTTTGGCCCAAACCCATTAGGGTTTCTCTTATATACCTCTCCCCTACTCTCTCTCACCTCCTCAGTCCTCAGTCCTCACTCCCAGTCTCCAGCCGTTGGCTGCACTTGCTGTGTGTGCAGCTGCTGAGTTGCATCTCTCCCCCTCCATCCTCGCTCCTTCCTCCCTCCTCCCTCCCTTCCGGTTCCAATCCAAGCAGCACGTCCGTGCATCTTCCCTGCTGCATGCAGCTTCCTCGTCCCTCCTGCAGTCCTGCTGCTTCCTCCTCCCTCCTGCTACAGGGCCGCCGATTCTCTTCCCCACCTGAGAAGTCTTGGATATATACCATGCATATATGATATATAGTCCTGCTATATACAGGACGATTATATGGACGATTAGACCGATAAGAGGTCGATTAATCGTCCTGGTCGTCCTGATCGGTACCAGGGCGATTAGCGATGATTAGCCGATTTAAAAACATTGTTCTAAAAATATTATTTACACATGAACTTAACGATCATCATCTCATAAAAAAGGAAGTGTGCTATCACAGATTATCCACGACACATCTGAATAGACTCTGCATTTGATTCATCAGTTTTCGTGGCTAAGGTAGAGAGCAAAGGGCAAGACTTATAGGAACTAGGATACCAGTCAAATTAAAATGCTTCAAATACTACACCAGATACTGACACCAGCACTACTTTCTTTGGGTTCCAATGCATTTATAAGGCAGCAAAGGATAAGTTAATAAACCAATATGAAATTAAGAGCAATACAATATTACAAAGTAGCAGATCATGAAGCTTTTTGAATGTGGCTACCTATACTAACAACGAGACAGGGGAGAGAACAAATGTTCAGAGCATGGTTTTAGGGTGACAAGGCGAGAGACCTCCTTCCAGTCGTCTAGGCAAATAAGGCGCTTGCCTAGGAGATGCCATACAAACATCTAATTCCACTAAAAGCTCACAAGAAATAAAACCTTAATGTTCCCAACTCTTAGAATGAATACCATACTAGTAGCATATAAAACAGAGCAATTAGCATATAATATCACACAACCAATGTACCACTGTACTAAGCAAGTATAAAACAAAGCACAAGCACTAAAGCACTACCATTCTCCTTTCAGAATCATATAAGCAGACAACTAGCAGGCAAACATCTTATATCTTCTTTAAGAAGCAAAGCATAGGGAGAGCAAGAGGAGCAAAGTCACACATGATTCAATCTGGGCCTGGAGGGAAGGCAGGGCGAAGCTAGGAGCCAGCAAAGAGCAGGGCGCAGCTTGTGGTGAGAGGGGAGGCAGGGCAGAGCAATTGTCCACTAATCCTCGCCCTGGGTCCTGGCGGCCGGCGCAAATGCGCAGCCAGAATCAAAGCATGGAGGCGCACAGCCAGAACCAGCATGGCAACGCATCGCATGGGAATCAATGTGTCTCACGGGGATGCGTCGATGGGGACTTGCCTTGAGCACACAGGGAAGAAGCAGAAGGCAGCAGGAACTTTGGTCTCTCCCTCTCTTTCTCTTGCTTCCCTATACCTTTTCTCTCCCTATCCCTCTCTTCCTGTGCGGAAGGCAGGATGTACTGCATGTGAGTTATTTTCTTCCCGCATGGCGCAGGGCCGTTCCTTTCTCGCATGTGCGATGGTCAAAGTTCAGCTAGGCACTAGGCGGAATCTAGGCACTGACCCATTGCCTAGCGCCTAGTCAGGAGTACTCGGTCCTAGGCGCTCCTAGGCGTTTGCCTAGGCGTTTTGGCAACGGAGCTCTCCTCTGCTCCAAGAGAAAGCAGAGCAGAGAAGCAGGCTACTACCTGCTCCAAGAGAAAGCAGAGCAGAGCGAGAGAGGCGCGCCTTGTTCCCCAGTGAAGCAGAGCAGGGGCGGCGAGAGCAGAGCAGAGGCCACTGGTTCCCCCCGAAGCCGAGCAGGGCGGCGCGAGCAAGGCAGAGGGCCGCGAGCAGGGGCGGCGAGGCAGAGCAGAGGGCCGCGCCTGGTTCCCCGAGTGAAGCAGAGTAGGGGCGGCTTCAACCGAGGGCCGCGCTGGCGTGGGGAGGGCAGCAAGCGGCAGCAGCCTGGGGAGGTGCGGCGTCCACCGGGGCCGCGGCCAGCCAGAGGGGCACACGCAGCACGCGTGCCGCCCGACGGCCAGTGGTCGGTGGCGACGCGTGGCTGCGCCCGGGACGGTCGCTGGTTGGCGATGGTCGCGACGGCCGCCTAGCTCCGCCTAGCGCCGCGATGCGCGACTATGCCCCTGGTCGCGGCGACGGGCTTCGCCCAACGACTAGGCGCGCGTAGTCGCCGAGTAGTCGCCGCCTAGCCGAACTTTGGCGATGGTCTTTCGCGAATATGGTGACTGCCCACAGCCTCCTTGCCAATGCCCAAACGCCTAAACAAGAAAGGCGGACGCCTAGGACGACAAGGCAGATACCATACGTGTGCATATAGCTAGTATGGACGCCTAGCTGTCGCCTAGGCGTCACCTTTAAAAGTTAAAACCATGGTTCAGAGACATCTAATACTTTTGACACAGCCTTGGAAAACATCAGGTTGAGTGGCGAACTTTTGGTAGAGGTTTATTGATCTCATGATCTGTTCTGCTCCTAGATGTATACTGACAAATCTACTTGTCTTCACCTGCCAAAACTTTGTTATTACGTTTCTGGGTTCAGCTAATCTTTTAATTTCCAATTGTAGATCAAAATCCACAACCTCTTGATGTATCATGACAAACAGACAAAACTCAGATTATAACAATGAAAAAAAATACAAAACCATAGGGAACCCTGAATCCAATAATTACCTCCAAATCTCCTAGTTGAAGTGCCATAGATTGCAGCTCCTGGCAATGAGCATGTGCCAAGTTGCGACATTGTTGATGCAAATCAATGCCTATAAAGCCCAGTAAATCACAAAATCAGTACCATTAAAAATGAAACGCCACACTGAATGCTTCAAAATGGAATATGCATCAATGAATCATTGCCCATTGCATAGTTCATAATACATTAAACCTTTTAATTGAATTCGCTATCCAAAGACAGGAAATGGAATGGAACAGGATGATATTATCATATCATTACACATAAAAAGTACAATATAAGCACATAATTGCTTTCTTTCACTTGTCAGCTATCCACAACACAGGTTTACCCATGTATGTCCGAAAATATACCACTTGGCGGGCATCATGACAAAACATAGCATATCCTATCATATAGTATTATGAACTTACTTATACAAACACTAAAATGATTTGAAATAAAAAAAAACTTATATGAATTAATCATTTGGAAAGGGCAACAAGGACTGAAATTTCAATTAAACATAATACAAAGTATCATTCATCGGCCGGACATGGTAAAGGACATGGGTGTACACATGTACGCCCCATAATTTTGCAAAAAAAAAAATTAAGTTAGTAGGCATAATACATCTATACCCTTGTAATTACTCCCTCCGTCCAAAGAATATATAGATATCCCTTCTCAAGGAGTCAAACAATCTTTATAGAAAATAGTAGATCAGATCCGAATACAAATCACCAAATAGTTTAAGTTAGGGTTCAGGGGCTCGGTTTCGTATAGCAGGGACAGTGGCGAGCCCAGGATTTTGGAGCTGGGTATTCAAAATGTATAAGGGTAAAAAAAAATTCACAATCAAAAGGCTAATATTTGGCATGTATAGTGCTGTATAGTATATATATAGGAAATATATAACACATATAATTCAGTATGATTTCATATATTCAAGAATTTGACCACAAATTGAGCATATAACTCTCTCTTGCTCAACCTCATCTTGTGACTGTTTCTCCCCTTTGCAACAAAGTTCTCAAATCTATGGTACCACTATTTTTTATTTTCATACTTGAGACCTAAAATGAAATCAAGAGACTAGACTAGGTAATTTGGGGACAAATTGCGATCCATAACAATTTGAATAGGAAATTCGAAGCCTGAAACTCAACTTACAGGAACAGACCTCGCTGCCTCGCTGTTCAGCGGTCGCTGCTGACCTGCTGCGTCTGCGTGCTGGTGGTGCTGCTGCAGGCCGGTGCCGCGCAGCCGCGGTGCGTGCTACAGGCTGCTGCCTGTTGCTGCCGGCCTGCCCCTGCCTTGGAGACTGGAGTCCGCGCGCCGGCCTTGCGCGATGGCGCGGTGCGCCCGTGCCGCCGCCGCCCGTCGGCCACCAAAGCGCCACCACTCGAAGCTAGGCTAGGGTTCGCCGGACGCCGGTTCAGGGAGAAAAACGCGGAGTCGCGTGCGGCTTCCCACCCGACTCCCGTGAGCACGGGTGAGCGTAGGGGAGAGGAGTGGGGAGCAGGCGTTGTTGGGCCTGCGGGTGAGAATATGTGTCGCTGGACCTCGTTGGGCCTTCGGGTGGGGGAACAAAACGAGTAGTAATATGTTACTTTGGGCTGATTTGCTGTATATAAGTGTTCAAGTTCGCTGTATTTTTGTTTTTTTCCATATACAGACCGGTTCCACTAAAAAACAGATTTATATATATATATATACATTACATATATGATTTTTTTTCTAAAATATTTGGGTATTCAAACTGAATACCCTTTGAATACCCTTGAATACTTGTGGGAAGAGAAGGGGTGGGCATACCTGGTGGGTGCTTGTCGCCGGTGAAGCGCCCGACGATGACTTGGCAAAGGGACCGACAATGGGTACCTGGCTGAGGATGAAAACGGGAGGAAACGGTCGGAAAACTCCTAAATTATTTTCTACTTTTACATTTGAATACGAAAACGAAAGCGAAAACGGTAAAGCCGGACACGAAAACGAACGCGAACTTACGGAATATCGAGAATTCCGAAAACGAACCAATTCGAGCGAAATTATGTCGAACACGGTCGATTACGAAAATTCGATACGGAATACCGATCCGTAGGCCCAAGTGCATGACAATTAACAAGTGCATGACTAAGTATATGTACATGGATGATCAAGTTCAAGTACATATAATAATTAACAAGTGTATGATACTTGGTCTTAAGTATTAATACAATAGCAGACATACAAATACAAGTATAGAACAACTAATTAACAGCTAGCAGGATAATAGGAATTAAAATTAGATGTAGCAACTAGCATACCATTTTAGAATCATAGAAACGTGAACACGAACTGAGTCAAGATAATTTTATTCTTTTTGGAATAGATGTAATATTTTATTTTAAAGATTTATTCAGCTTTTTCTTTTGAGTAACAAAGATTTATTCAGCTGAGGCAAAAACTATCAAACATGTCATTGACTTTACAGGTGGGGGTTAAACCGATGAGCTTGATGGCCCAGGTGGGCTTTGTGTGTAGCACTGGTAAGCTGAGAAGGGAAGCGGAGAAGATGCTCGTGGCTTGCTGCCGTTTAGTACCACCTCGCGAGGTGAAATGAGATGAGGTTGGGCGCCGTCTATACGAGAGGGCAGCTGGCTCCCAGTAGAAACTTCACAGCTGCGTGGTGAGCAGCATGTAAATGGGCAGTGTGACCTGTGCAGTGGTCTAAATTCGGTTTCAACCGAATTTCGAATTTGGGATATTCCGAATTAAAAGTAGAAATCGGTCAGAAAATGTCTAAACCGATTTTGTTTTGATTTCGAATTTGGTGTTCTGTATTTCGAACTGGATTTGAATTTGTCCGAAAATACGAATTCAATCAGGTCAAATGTAGAAAACGATGCAGTTCGGTTTGAGATATTTCTGTACTGTTTTCATCCTTATACCTGGCGTAGGGCAACGGCGCAGTCGCTCAATCGTCGGCAGAGGAGCGTGCGCACGTGGGGTGAGGTTACCAGCGTAGGAGAGAGAAAGGTGGAGAGACAGAAGAACCGCTATTCCTGGCGAGGGCGAGAGTCGCTTCACGGATTTTCCGCCTGCTCGTACGACAAGATCTATGATGGTCAGGCATTGTTCATTGGCCGATCACCAGCCTGCTCACCGCTGGCCCCCCAAATAAACCATCAGAAGCCAAGATCCTCCAAGGTCTGAGTCGCGCCACTCACTCACTCAGTAGTCCTCCTCCTCACTCCGTCCCCCCGCGCTTAGGGTTTTCGCGCCTTGTGGTGCATGTTAGCTCCAGGTTCTCCGTTCCTTCCCGGCGCCATCGAAACCTCCCCCACACTGGACTCCACTTCGCCCCCGCCGAGCCCTCCTCTCTCTCTCTCCTCACTCTCTCCACAAGACCGCTTTCTCCACCGCAAGAAAAAAGGCGAAAAATCATACGCAAATCCCCGCCCTTCCACCGCCAAGCTTCTTGGTCCTTCCTTGCCATTGTGCGTTAGATCGCTCGCCGTGTTCGTAAGCAGCCCAAAGATCCTCGCTTCGAAGTCTTCTTGTCCCCGTCCTTGGTTTCGTTGTACTGCTTTTCTTGAGGCCGTGGGGAAAAATGTGTGGGGTGGTGGCGCTCATGTTCCTTGGTCCGCCCCTCGTTTTCCGGGTAGTCATGAATTGGCGCTTGTTCGGCCGCAAGATAGCACGGCGCTGTTGAAGCGGTTAGGCCTTTAGCCTTTACTCGCAGTGGTTTCTTCGTGACTCCGCTTTTGCGGATCCGACGCCGTCGTCCCCCCCCCCCCATCGGATCGACACCCACGTGCTCTATTGGTATGAGGCCGCCGCCGCCAACGGATCCGCCTGTCGATTCGCGGATTCGGTAGCCTTTTCGCCAGATCCGACATTTCGCGGCGTGGCTGTCGCTTCGCCCCCGTGCTGCTCCTCTCCGAAAAACCATCGTGATCCGTCGTTGCTCAAAACGAAGCGAGGACTTCGGCAAGGCAAGTCCCCTTGTATTACGACCTAACTCTCCTGTTTGTCACTCTTACAATTGTGCAAAATTTGCTTGTATGTTGCAATCATCATACCATACAATTTCAAATGCCAACAGATGTCCACCGACCGTGCTAATCGGGATGAAGCCACCTTGAGGATCTTTTCGAATTAGTCATATAGAACAGAAAACCTCTTGCATCGGAGCCAACGAGGCCTCACGACCGTCGGGTGGAACAATCTTTACCCACAATTGAAAATAGAACAAAGTTGGGTTATGACAAGAAGCGACTTGAGAACAAGTTGAGTGACCAAGCGGTCATATTTCGCTTGGCGTGACCTTCAAACCCACACCGGCTCGGGCCGTGACCCGATCACAGGGGAGGCATCGCAGCTTGACCCCTCATTTTTGAGGATGGCAACGGGTACTTCCTTTGACCTTTTTCTTTCAAACCCATCGACTACCAATTACTACGGACGCTCCTATTCTATTCGGCCTAACTTGTGGAACCATGGCACGAGAGTGAAACTAGCCAATCGGGTGCAATGGACCAAAGTTTCCCAAATGCCTTGACCTACTAGTCACTCTTTTGGGGACGCACTTCGTGAAAGGGGCACCCCTTTCACGCTTGGTGGCCATCAACGCGAGAGGACACCAGTACTCCTACCAATGCAAGTCCACATGACATGTCCCAGAACTCAGAGGTACACACAGTGTCGGCCGATCCTCCAAACGAACCCATAGAGAACATTCCATCAACACCCCCGAAGAAGAAAACTGTTTCCATTGAAGAGTGCCTTGAAGACCGACCTAGTTCATTAAGAACCAAAGAATGCAGTATAAGGGTCAAGCAAGCAAACAGGAGGAGATGGCCAAAGTGAAGCAACTTATGAAACAAGATGGGGTCGCCGAGTCTCGATCTCTGCGTTTGTTTCATGCGTTAGTTGTGTTCAAGAACACAGCTTGATGTAGAGAACTTTTCTCGCCATGGAAACCAAAGAGGGCCGCATGAACTTGATTGAGGCCTTGGGAGGTTTCAGAGCTAGATCCAAGTAGTCGTTATCCCAACGTAATGTTCCCATCTGCGCCGATCTATGTA